TTATCATCATCATCATTATTATTATTATTATTATTACTATTATTATTGTTATTGTTAGTATTATTGTTAGTATTATTAGTACTAGTATTATTAGTGTTATTATTATTATTATTATTAGTAGTAGTAGTAGTAGTAGTAGCATTAATATTATTATTATTAATAGTATTATTATTACTATTACTAGCATTGATATTATTATGAGTAGTCTTAGTATTATTATTATTACTATTATTATTAGTAGTAGTATTATTATTAGTATTATTGTTATTATTCTTATTAATAGTAGTATTGGTATTGGTAGTAGTATTATTAGTAGTATTATTATTAGTATTATTATTACTACAAGTATTGTTAACACTGTTCTTCTTATTATTAGTAGTGTTACTCTTGTTATTATTGTTCTTATTAACATTATTATTATTATTCGTCGTGTTCGTCTTCGTTGTCTTATTATTCTTATTAGTATTCGTCTTCTTCTTATTATTATTAGTAGTAGTAGTATTCATTTTCTTATTCTTCGTCTTCTTATTACTGTTATTATTCGTAATCGTATTCGTCGTATTAGTATTCTTATTCGGCTTAGTAGTCTTCTTATTCGTATTATTATTCGTCATAGTATTCGTATTATTCTTCTTATTATTATTCGTCTTAGTCGTATTAGTATTATTCTTCTTATTATTATTGTTATTATTATTAGTCGTAGCATTCGTCGTCTTATTATTCCTCTTATTTTTCCTCGTCTTCTTCCTCTTAGTATTCCTCTTCTTCTTCCTCTTCTTCTTCCTCATCATCTTCCTCTTCCTCGTCCTCCTCCTCCTCCTCCTCCTCCTCCTCCGCCTCCTCCGCCTCCTCCTCCTCCTCCTCCTCCTCCGCCTCCTCCGCCTCCTCCTCCTCCTCCTCCTCCTCCTATTGACCTATTGACCTGCACTAGAAGGTGGGCTCCCTGCGCGCCAGGGCCCTTCAGACTAAGTCTCACGAGATTATCCTCTCTCGTGGAAGGCCACAGCGGGTCGCAACCTGCGTTCTTAAATGGGCAAGTTGTCCCACGGGCCATTCGAGAAGCCCTTTGGGCTTCTGTCCCTGCAGCAACCGACGAGACGCTTTGATCCCCGTACTTGTCGGCTTCTCGCAGGGACCTGAAAGTTTGGTAGCTCGGGTGGCAGCCCACCCCCCACACTTGGAACAGAACACCACCCCCTTTACCATACAAATGTTGGGGTGGTGGGAGGGGTGGACTTCAAAAATGTATTTCCTGGGTAGGCACACCTGCGTAACCCATCCTGGAGAAGGCAAAACAGAAAAGGCGGCACAGCGGGTACAACTTGTGGTACCCCCTCCTTTGAGGACAGAGTGCGGGCTCATCTCGGCTTCTCGAAGCCGTCGGGTTTTGGCACTCTTCGGGACCTTCTGCTGCTTTAGATTGGGGCCGTATTTCCAGTTAAGATCTTGGATACATGCAAGACGGGATCTGATCAACTGCATCTCCTTATCCCTGGCCTGGACCTCCAAAACCTCCTCCTCAGTAAATCCGAAAAACTCAGCTGCTCTGCGCGCAACGGCGTCGGCGGCAACGTTAGCAATGTAAAAGTCGGGGCGCACGGTGCCATCGCTGATGTCGCTCAGCGTGGCGTGCGCCTTGGTCTTCTTAAAGGCGACGTGGTGGGTCCTGTCATTATAGGCCTGCCAAAAGAGACACCACAAGTCGGTGTTGCTTTTATGTTTCCACTGCTCTCCCCTGCGGACGCCTTTCATAAGATAATCACTGTCGGTAACGATGACGATGGGCCCATCAAGGGCCAAGGCGTAAATGGCAGCGGTAATTTCACCTCGGTTGATGGTTTGGGCTCCTGCGGCAAGACCGTAAAGGGTTCCGCGGGTCCAATTATCACGTCCCATGAGAGCAAGTCCCCATCCTACTCGTCGAAGGCGGGGGTCAGCAGAGAACTTTCCACCTGACCCGTCCGTACCGATCAGCCTGGTCTCGGTGAAACTGTAGCGGCCCGTGAGAAGGCAGCCCGTACCGTACACCTGGCTGTTCCTAGGTCTGGATGCTAAAAACCCGACCGTCTGTTCCTGCGGCTGGAGTCCTCGGAACCATTTGATGGGGAAAGTATTTCGTTCAGCCCGAGCTTTAGGGAGGAGGTGTTGCGAGTCACGGATCTCATCATACTCATGTCCCAGGGAAATGAGGGCGGGGCAATTCCAATAAGCGTGAAAAGCATCTTCACTGGGGGCTCCACATCTCCAGCAGCCTGGGGAACCTGCCATGCCTGCTTTAAACCTTCTGGCTCCATGCCAGATGCAACCTTTGGCGACGGAATAGGCGGCAGTAAACAGGTGCTTCGAACTCCTCCTCCATCCTCCAACGTGCTGCCGAAACTGGTGAACATCCACTCCTGAATCTCCTCCTCCCCCACAGTAGTACTCGGCTGCCTGTCCCCAGTACTTCTGGGTGATGCACGCGGTGAAAATATCTATGACAGCGGACTGGTCGCCCGTGACGGGACTGGTCTCGCCGTTACCTGGCTTGATGTGGTACTGTTGCCCGTACGGGCTGGTCCACCTCCATGGATGTGAGACCTCCCAACGGAAGTCCAAGAGGTAGGCCAGCACGGACGACATGAGGCTATATACCTTGTTCCACCTAGCTGGCCCCTGGAGTCGAGCATGGGTCTTAGGCCATGTTCGTTCAACCCCAAGGTGTAAATGTTCCTCCTGATTCAAGATGGAAAACCAAAGCTGCAAGCATCCCAAGGGAATATAATAGCCTGGGTCCATGACCAGATGCCCCTTAGGTGATAGGGCGTACGCAGTAGTAGTACACCCCGACTTAGTGACAATGCCCATAGTAGTAGCGAGTTTGCCTCTGAGGGTCCTGAGAGCCGTGGGAGCCACCCCTTGTCCCTGGAATCCCCAGACAAGTTGAGGTTGGGCCCCAGTAGTGACGAGACTTCGGGCCTTCTTAATCTTCTTAGTGAGCCTTCGGATCTTCCCAAGACGAGTATATCCTGCTGCTTGTCTAGCTTTACGCACTTTAAGTCTACGTTGTCGTCCTAGTGTGGCATCAACTCCAAGATCCCTACCTTGACGCTGTACTGAAATAGCTACCCCTGCATTCTCAAGACGCTGGGCGACGGACGCCTGCGGCCAAGGTCGAACTGGAGGCCATCAAACAACTCTTGGGCGAAAGCCTGCATCCCTGCCTCTCGAGGTCATGCCCCAGTGAAACAATGGCGGCAGGGAACATTCGTAATATATGCTCTGATGATGCCCACATGCGCACTCGGAGGTCGTCCACCCAGGTGCGGAAACTGAGCGGCAAATAGTCCCGATGGAACTTATCTAGCACATGATACAAGAATGCGCGTGCCATAGAGCAACTTTGCCCGCAGCCCTGCAGCATGGACTTGTCAGGCACTGCAAAATCTGAACACCCGATCGCCGACGTAAGGACCCGAGTACACCGATGTACCATGAGCGCTAATGCCAGCGGGGGGGTCGGGTAGTTGAGGCGCAAGGCCGAATGGACCATCCACTCGAGTTCTACTGAGTCAAAGAACTTTTCTAAGTCAAGGAGAGCTTCCACCATAGATACCCCTCCTGCCGATGCTATTTCTGCTGCTACTTCCGATAACACTGCGGCCCTGAGTGCGTCGTTCCCCTTGAGCGCCTGGTCCCAGAAGCCCGCGGAGTCCTGGTCCCACGAGGAAAGTTCGGTCCTGAAAAGCTTGCAAAGCACCCGATACAATCCATTCGTAAGGGTCAGGGGCCGGTCACATTCTGCATTTTTGGGCTGGAGGAAGATGAGGTTGAGTAGGACCTGGAGGGGAAGTTGCTGCCGCCGACATATCTGGTTGATTAAAAGAGTGAAACTCTGGCGGCCTTCGTCCTGCAGGCAGAGGAAATCTCGGACTGACCATCCGTCGCCTCCAGGTGCTGCTGAGGGCTTGTAGAGGGCCACCACGTTGAAAACATCGCTGGTGTCCCAGTCGTGGTAGTCTAATTGCCAATCCTCAATGGCTTGGAGACGAACCTTGCGGACCCAACGTGGCTCAAACGGGGCAGGATGTTTCTTGTCTTTCGGGTCCCACTTCCTCATCCAGTATTCAAGTTTCTTATTCATAACTTGGTAGGGGTCGGTGATGATCTCCCCGTCAGGGCCTTCAAGGTCCTCCAGTGGTTCTGGGTGGGCTCCAGGGGCACGAGTAATTGCATGGGCGGCCCCTCCCCCTTTCTTTAGCGATTCCAGGACAAAGTTTTTGAACCCCTCCTGAGACTCTATCAGCTCAGAGTGGTGGAAGTTGTGCTGGACCCGATCTATGATCTCCAGCCCCTTAGCCTGTGTGTCCTTGTCGGAGTAACCCCCAAGATAAGCCTCAAGAGCCCTAGAATCCTCTGGTGATAGTTCAGGATGGGGGATCTTGTCAAAGAAATGCCTCAAGAACTCCTGCAGCCTCTGGAAGTGGGCGCTATCATCTCTAGCTTGGTCCCGTTCCTTGGCGCGGATGCCGAGCGTGGCCCACTGGCTGGAGGCCGACTTGGCGCGGCCCTCCTTGGGCGCTGGCGGCAGGAGCGGCTTCCAGGCGAAACGCGGCACAAGCCCCGCCTGGCACTCGATGTCGGAAACTGCAATATCTCGCTGCTGGATCTCTACTGCCCTACAGAGAACTGCAAAGGTGTGCGTGAGCATCTCATCGTGGTGGCCAAAACACGTCGGATATTGCGCATACTGGGGCCCCTGGACCTGGAGGAAAGCCTTCCCGAAGTAGTCCGCCCACGGCCGTGCTGGTCCCAGGGCCCGTGGGAGAGGGGCTGGCCGCTCAAGGGCCCATATCTGCTTGGTAAAAACCTCAACTTCCATCGTCAAGGTCAGCCCGTAATGTGGACTCCAGGGGCCCTCCAGGTGCCCCTCGACGGTGATGCTCGTAGCCAAACGATCATCAACAATAAAATAATCTATCATGGTTTTGGTCACCGCATTGGTATAGGGAATGTCGGGCACGATGATCGTGCCATTCATGTACTCAAGGATGTTGGCCCCCTCTATGGCAGACGGGTCCATATTGAAATCACCTCCTAGAATGTAAGGCATGCGCATGACCCTAATGAAGGCGATGACCTCCCTGAGGATCTCCCTATTGGCCTGCTTGTACCCTATGGAGTCCCAGAGGTAGACCCCGATGAGAAGAATATCTACTTTGGAAAGCCTCAAGACACAGCTGGCCCATTGAGTCCCTTCAACAATCGGCTTCTTGTGCCCCTTGGCCCCCATGAATCTGGAATGTGTATGGTATCTAGATTGTGCGGCAAGGAGTACACCCCCATGTGTACCCCCCTTTGACGTCGAGGAGGCTGGACAAACGTAGGTAGACCAGGATGCTTTCCGAAACTTCTTTCTGAGCGGCCTCAAGTCCCCTGCAGACTTATGAACCTCAGTCAAAAACAGAAAGTCGTATGGTAGCTTCTGGTCGAAACAAAACTTGTCAGCCTTCTCACTCCATGTTGTGATATTGGCGAGGTAGATGGTGATGCTACCCCCCCGTTGTGCCTGGGCCAGCCTGCGGGGCGACACTTGCACGGGCACCCTCGGCCTGGTTGGCGGCCGCGCGGGCGTTCGCTTGGAGCTCCGCCGCTGCAGCCGCCGCCATGGGCTGCCAGGCCGCAGGCCCGATGTCGCCTGGGGCGGCGGGCGGGGGGGCTCCGCCCCCGGCTGGCGGCCTGGCGCCACGGCGAGCCTTCTTCTTGGCGCGCTCCTCGACCTTGGCGAACAGGCGCTGGAGCTTCGGCTTGGCCTGCGCTGCCTGGCGAATGACCTCGTAGTCGCCCTCGTCCAGGTCGTCGAGGTCGCTGAGATTGGATCCCTCGCTGGCCATGGACTTGTCTTCATCTGCTTCTGCTGCAGCACCTGGACCTCCTTGCCCCACAAAGGCTGCATAGGCGCGGCCCGCGGCCGCTGCTGCTGCCTTGGCCTCTTCGTGGGCCGTGGCAGCGGCCGTCTGGGCTTGAACGGCCTCGTCAAGTTGCTCTCGGAGCTGCTGAACTCGTTGATCTGCAGCATCCTTGTGCCTCGCGGCCCTCTCCACTGCCTCCTGGCGCAGCTTGAAGGACTCGCTGAGGGACTTCTGGGAGGGCCCGTTGGCGGCGTTGACGGTGACGGTCTCCTTGACGCGGCTGGCAAACGTCGGGAGAGCAAACTCACCTCCCCGTTCTTGGAGCAACTTGATGAAGTCATCGATGGTGTACTTGCGTGTGAGATCATCATGGGCAGCAGCAGGATCATGACCAAGAACCTGGCCACAAACACACAGCGGGTCCTTCTTGAGGCGGTCCGCCCACTTCCAGCGTGAACACGCTTCGCAGACGACGTACGCCCTGCTCTGCTGCTGCTGCTTGCCCTCCTTCTCCCAGCGCGACGTGCTTGCATTCCAGCGCCACTGCCCTGCCATCGCACAAGGATGGCGAGTGGAGGCCACCTGCCGAGGGCCGTGCTGGAGATGGGGCGCGCGCCCAACCTGGCCCTCTGTGGCCGCCCTTGAGCGAGGTTGGGAAGTTCAGGAGCAGGCCCCTTGAGCCAAAATGGCTACGGCCTCCTCCTCCTCCTCCTCCTCCTCCTCCTCCTCCTCCTCCTCCTCCCCCGCCTCACCCGCCCCCTGGCCCCACAGCCCCCGTCCAGGGCCCCAGCCCGCCCAGGGTTATGCACGGACCTCGGCGGCTCAAAGATGGGAGAGGGATGCCAAGCTGGACCTTCACTGCTTGCGGACACTACAGTAGGAGCTCGACCATAAGAAACCTTCCACAAGAAACCCAACCCTGAGACCCCCCAGGACGTCCATTGCTTCTTCAGAACGTCGATTCCCAAGAAGAAACCCAGGGCACCCTGGAGGCAAGCAGGGCGTTTCTTGGCATGGGTCTCCACTGTAGTCCTCAAGGCTCCACCCCGCAGTTGAGGGGCAACGAGAGGGCGGATAGGCATAGGGGGGGGGGGGAGGGGAAAACATTGACCTCGAATGGGCGATGCATCGCCGATAGATCGGCGATGGGCCCCCGATCGTGAAGCCGCACGTTCCTGGGCAGGCTGGGGCTATCGGGCCCACATCGGCGATAAGTGGGCGATTGAGGGTCGA